GCTGTCGAAAAATTAAGGTCCACTCTCTTTCTCCACTCTCTCCTTCTTCTATCCAGCCTTACCAATAATGACAGTTTAAGTAGTCAAAAAACAAGGACTTCCCTTCCCTCCCCCATCAACAATGCACCAAACACCTAATTGAGTAGATGAATGGATGGATAAGTTTATTTGTTACAAGACGTGCCATTGCATAACGCCACAACAACCGATGGATGTGCAGATGAGCATGTCAAGAGGTGAGTACTTAATTACTCTACCTCATCACTACGTGAGTTTAGCGGTTTTGGAGGTCACACCTTCGCCTCCTGCGTGAACCGCGATCACTGCTGGTGTGACGATCTTCAATCGACCACAACTCTTTCCTTCACTCGCCTCACTGTTCAGGAGGAAGTCAACTTACGATGTAGTCAATCCCGTTAAATAGTGAAGGCCTTCAATGAATGGGCTCGAAATGGCTGAGAGGCGATCGAATACTTCCCGCCTTTCCAATGACAACGCAGAAGGCGAAATAAATGAGTGAGCGGTACAACAAAATTACACACAAAAATGTGATTCCTAATGTGGTTCTGAATTCGGACAAGGAAATTGGACCTCAGATAGAAGCATGGTTTTGAGGCCAAGGTGTGGATGGCGAAGATGTTGATGAAGTGACTCATTCAAAATTGAAGAAAAGATTGAGATCTCACAAATGGCATCACAAAGCTCTTCGAACTGGACGCACAGGCTTAGAGTGAGATGAGAGACACCGATGGATTGAAAATGATGTCTGATGGACAGCTTCAAGGCAAAGCGATTGACAGACTTTAAGGCGTGAGTCCGCTGAAAACTCTAAATTACTCAAACAATGACCGACATTTAGACGTCCGGAATTGTCACAACCCACATTCTATCCACCTTGGAGACATTTATTTACCTATTCCTCCACCAGTCCAGAAAGACGAGCCTCCGTTCATTCCTCATCCATCAACCACGCCATCAGACAGACATCCATCAAACCGCCTAGTCAGGCATCCGTTCCACAGGTCTTTCCAAGGGCTGCTTGTGAGAACAAACTCACAACAACGCTTGCAGGTGCGAATGTAAGGATGGCAAAAAAAAGTTTTATCTTTTGGAATGCCTTTTCTCACGGGAACAGGTGTCGAAATTGCTGGAGTCGAACTGCCCCAACGACGGTGTAAATTGGTTGTGGGAAAATGCGACACCTGTGGCACAACTCAGCCCAAGACGCAACGGCATCACACACAGCAATGATGAAGAATTTCGACGAGTTGTGAGGGATAAAAAAGAAGATTTGGTAAAAGAGTGCGACTCATATTCATGCATCCACGGAGACGTTGAATTTACTGGTGCTAAAGCTAGTCACTGGACAATCCATCCATCCATCCATTCAATCCAACTGTCTACTTCCACGTCCATCAATTCAGTCGTCTATAGACGCATCCACCGATCGGTTCACACAACTCTCCATCCATCAAACCTATACATCGACTCTTCGACCTACCGAAACATGCATTCCTTTAATTGGATGAGCATCCCGCATTTTGGATGCTCCTCCCTTTCCCTCATGAGACAACATCCTCCAGTGAGGCATCATAGACACAAAAAGGAAGGTGTTTGAGATTGAAGTCGCGCCAGCCCTTCAATAAACTTCCGTTCTGTTTAACATACTCAATCTCGATGAAACTCATAGAGGGTAGAAGATGCTGTGGAGAAGAGTGGACCAAATGTCGCAAGACGAGGAGTGCAACATTTGAATCCATTAGGGTGGGGGGAGGGGAGGGGAGGGGGTGGGGAGAAGAGGAAGGGTAAGAAATGTAGAAGCGAAAAAAATGAAGGCTTTCCCAACAACTCACCAGGATCCATGTTATAGGCCTCCAATTCACCATCCTCATCTGAGGCGACCTCCAACTCGGGCTCCTCCATGCCGCTGGCAAGAGATGGTGGTTCCTCCCTAAGACAGAGGCGATTTAAGTAGCGTCACTCCAAGGGTTGGATAAGCACGATGGCAGAAACTAGAACTTGCATCCACTGCAATTCAAACCAATGCAAGCTAAGGCTTCTGCAATGAAGTTGTAGAAGCTGTTGAAGGTCTCGAGAGAAACACGCGGTATCAACAGGAATCGGATGAATGCAAGGCTGTTTCCACATGATCTCCATTACATGCATTTTGCCAACTTCAAGATCCTTACCTCATTTTGAACAAGTGGGAGAAGACTGACTTCAAAAATGCAAGCATCGTGTTTAGAGTCAAATGACGAATTCTACCAGACCGATCTAAATGCAAGAACCAATCAACCCAGAACACTTTGAACAGGAGGCTTGAATACTTCCGGATAATCCAACAAATTGTTTAATCTAAAGAGTTGGTCTATTGCGACAAAAACCAGCCAATCAGAAGTCGGAATCGATTCCAGAGATGCCTACACCACCTCCTACTAGGCTTAGCTTATCCGATGCGACCCCAAATCATCAAAGAGGCAGTACAGAAATCGGTCCCGAAGGAAGCCTCACAGTCCTGACGGTTGAGAGCGCTCAAGAAGCACTTTGACCGCCTTGTGGGATGCATTGTGTTGGAGTGAAGAGAGTGTCGAAGCACATCAAAAAAAAAAAAAAACAATCTAACCTGTGAAGCATTGCCTTGCACAGGATGGAAAAAAAAATTGTTAAGAGTAGCTCAAAATTAACAGTTCACTCCTGTATTCTGACGGGGAAGAGGATTTCTTTTTTGGACTTCAAACACTAAGAACTACTGCTGTGATGGAAACTACTGCAAACCCACTTACACGGTCTGGAAATGAACCCTTGCCTTAGTTTTAGGCTTTCTGGAAGGGTTTAAAAATAACTCGTAAAGGGCGAAATTAGCAAAGTTTGAGTGGAATGGGCCTAGGGAGTTGTAAAAGGATTGACCCAGTGCAAACACACCGCCCAAAGCGATGGAGGTGGAGGTGACGAAGAAGGTGTTTCCCGCCATCTCATTCCAAAGACGCAGTGTGGCGATACAAGATCGTCCTCTGTGCCTGAGCTTAGC